CCATCTTTAGTAAGTTCCAGATGTCGTAATGTTTTAGGGCATTCTCCTGGTTTGGTAAGTTATAAATGTCGTAATGTTTTAGGACCTTCTACGGCTTTGGTAAATTCTATATGTCGTAATGTTTAAGGACCTTCTCCGGCTTTGGTAAATTCCATATGTCGTAATGTTTTAGAGCCTTCTACGGCTTTGGTAAATTCCATATGTCGTAATGTTTTAGGACCTTCTCCGGCGTTGGTAAGTTATAAATGTCGTAATATTTTAGAGCCTTCTAAGGCTTTGGCAAGTTATAAATGTAATGTTTTAGGACCTTCTCCGGCTTTGGTAAGTTATAAATATAATGTTTTAGGGCCTTCTACAGCTTTGGTAAGTTATAAATGTAATGTTTTAGGGTCTTCTACGGCTTTGGTAAGTTATAAATGTAACGTTTTAGGGCCTTCTAAGGCTTTGGCAAGTTATAAATGTAATGTTTTAGGGTCTTCTCCGGCTTTGATATGTTCCATATGTCGTAAAGTTTACGAATTACAAGTTTTGCACTATAGTAGACAGACCATCTGTTTTATTAATGATTTACGAATAAAATCCCGGAAAAATCTTAAAATTATTAACCATAATTTTACTATTTCTCTACAGTTACAAGTTGTAACTATGGATACCCAACACCAATCGGTGACCTGTTTTCTCCCCCTGAAACCTACAACGGACACAAATATTATCTCTCCAAGTTTCAATACCTGGATCCCGAACATGCTGAAAAGGTGTGTTTGTCGTATGGCATGTATTTGGTGGAGGTCAACGACGCAGCCGAATACAAGTTTGTCCAGGACCTGGTCAAGTAAGATAACCCTCCAGGCCTGCTGATTTCTGGAACTGACCAAGCACTTAAGGGTACGTGGATCTACCAGTTCAGCAAAGAGCCGGTCAAGTTTTTTGACTGGTGGGGAAGTAACCCGGACAACTGGAATGGTGGAAATGATTACTTAACACTCCACCGCGATTACAGCTTCAGGATGAATGACATGTTTGATCAAAACCGTGGTGGTTACAAGTTCATGTGTGAAAAATGTGTCTGAGCAATTGGTCTGAATATTTGTCTGACCTAGAGAAATAGCTTGTCACTATGGTAGATTAAACATTTTAAGCTGATCATGCTTTTGTTTTTATAATTTTTCTTGATATTCTTTTTCTGTTGTATTATCGATGTACATTTTTATGTTCAATCATGTTGTGTTACGTCACTATCTGCAATCTGTTTCATCACAAGAAGACAACATCAAGACCTACAATGTAGAGCGTCATTTTCCGTCTCGATGCTAATGTATGGTTTATGTTTTTATTTTTGTTTATGTATGTGGTTGAAGTTGTGGTGAGGTTTAGGATGTATAGTCGTTTTTAGAAGTAGAAGTGCTGGTTGTGGAGAAATTTATATTTATGCTCTGTTGGCTGAAGGAAGTGAAATAAATTATGTCAGCCATCATCGTTTTGGATTAAGTAATTATTAAAAGCGTTCTCCTCTTTTTACTATCTCGTCTACGGAGTAAAGAAGAAGTTTTGTAATCGTGCAAAAAATCGAAATCGAGATTTTTACAAATTTCGACATTTTACACATACCTGAGTCGAAAAACATTGTTTTGGAATTGTGTCCGTATTTCTGTGTATCTGTCTGTCAACATGATAACTTGAGTACCGTTACACCGAGGTTGATTAAATTTCATATATAAGTATTTTATCAAAATCGTAGATCCGTATCAACTTTTGAGCGATTTCCGATAACCAGAAGTGGTACTTCTTTTATGTTGAATTTTTCAAAAGCCTATAACTTGAGTACTGTTTCAGATAGATAAATAAAATTTCACATGTAAGTAAAAAATCTAATTCTCTACCTTCTATCTTATTTTGAGTAATTTCCGTTGACCGGAAGTAGTAATTTACGCTGTTTCAAATTTCTCATAAAACGCATATAAATTTATAAAGTAATAATAATATTGCGCACTATTATACACATTTTATTTGGCGTTCACTGGTGTGCAATTCTTTTTTCTGCGAGATTTTATTCTATTTAAAAAGTTTAAGTATTTAAAATGGATTAAAATTCCTGTCTATATCCCGAGTTCCCATCCCCTGTTTTTTTAACACGTTTTTCTTAACTCAGCTTCGCGTTTATTTGTTTGTTTGTTTGGTTGTTTGGATGTTTGTTGTTAAAATTGACATCGAAAATTAGCCCACTTCTGATTGCTCTAGAGATCTGAAATTTGGAATGCAGGCTATTTTCGCCTAACAATTTCAGATGCAATCATAAAAACTAGCAATTAGAGACCGTAGTTCATTAATATAATACAGCAGTTCTTTACAAAATACAAATTTAAGTTTAAGCATTGGAAAGTACAATATTCTTCCTGAAGTTACATAAAAAAACCATACCTTAAGTATTTGAGTAGCTAGTCTACTTTCTGTTGAATTTAAAGGCTATTTACAAATTTTGTAAACATTTGCCATGCCAATAATCCTTTCAACATGAACCCTTTTGCTTGAAAAGAACCTATCTCGAATAACAGTTAGTGGGTGAAGCCTTTTTTTTTTTAAAGAATCTTGGAATATTTAAAGTTACATCTTTCCTAGCAAATAAATCCTGAACATTGAAACCTTTGTCTGCCATTATAGAGTCCCCTGATTCACACAGATCAATAATTCTACTTCTCTCGACTAATTGTCTATATGATGCTGAGCCTCCATAGACATCTGAGATGTAGGAAACGAGTCCACCTGGAGTACATCCTACAAGAACTTTAACTGTATTTCTAGATCTATTTGTAAACAAACATGTGTGCTGATATTTATTAAGTAGTATGTTTAAGAGATCGTGTGTGTATTTTAAATCAAATAAATTGCGTAATATCTGAAAATGCCATCATATTGCGGTGTACAATTTACTGGATAGCTTTTCAAGTGATTGTACTCGCATTTTGTGATTATATAATAAAATGTATAAGACTGAAAAATACCAGCATATTGCGCTGTACTCTAGGGAACGGTAGATAGTGTAGTCATTCCTTCCCACGGCAAGGCTTACATTTATAAGCTGTGTAATTAAACAATACACAAAATTTGACACCAATAGGGACATGGGGGTTGTAGGGGTTTGGTCGTGAGGGTGAGAACATCTGAGGGGGGGATTGGTGAGACAATTTGAGGCGTTGGTGCGTTTCTAAGGTGTTGTGGTGTTCTGTTTGACTTGTGTGTGTGTGTGTGTATGTACGTGTCGCCACTTAGCGTCAGGGCTGGCTACTCTGCGTAGCAATATTGACCATTTTTTCCGCCGTCCGCGTTTATTTTAGTACGGTGTGCAGAGTTGAATGTAGAATTTCTTACTGCTACTCTCTCGCTCCCAATTTTATCACTTTTACCCTATCTCCATATTAGAGAATAGTGTGAATGGGTTACTCTCTCTTGTATACGCTTATACTGACAGAAGCATTGCTCATTATTCAGACCGAAGGAAACACAAAATCGAGAATTACTCGATCCAATGTTGCCAGCATACAAACCCTTATTTTAGGACTTTCGTTTTGATAATAAAAGTAATAAAATGACACAAAAGCTGCCTTTACAAATAAGTGTATCGCTTTCAAATTCTATGTTGACAAGAACTAAACACAAGCAAAAGCATTATTTTAAATCTTGTGTAAACACGACATCAACCTATGAGTGTAGGCTACATAAAAGCGAAAACGATTAATTACGTCATTGTTGTAGGCCTAAAAGTAGAATACAGCGATGGTGGTTGTTATGGTATTATGTGCTTGTAGGGTCCCTGAATTAATGGATGCTTATAGTGTCCCTAAATTAATGTATTCTTGTAGGGTTTTGAATTAATGTATGTTTGGGGGTACCTGACGAATGTATGTTTGTACAATCCCTTAATTAATGTATGCTTTTAGGATTCGGAATTAATGTATGCTTGTAGGGTCCCTGAATTGATATATGCTTGGAGGGTTCTGAATTAATGTATGTTTGGGGGGTCCCTGAATTAATGTATGCTTGTACGATCTCTTTATTAATGTATCCTTGTAGGGTCTCAGATGTGATATATGCTTATAGGGTCTTGAATTAATGTATGCTTTTTGGGTTTTTAATTAATGTATATTTGGGAGTCCTTGATTAATTTATGCTTATGGGGTCCCTGAATTAATGTATGCTTGTGAGTGTCTCTAAATTAATTTAATTTTGAAAGCAACTGCAAAATGCGTTAAATATAGCAACATGTCAAACACAGCCATTAGGATACACCTAACAATAACCCGTACTTGTTTATCAAAATCTCAACACGCGTAGAATCTTTTACACGTAACAATTAATTTTTTTCAATAATAAAAAAAAATTCGTGTTTGCATAGTAGCTTAACAGTATTATACAAAAAGTTTAATTTTAAGATCACTTTGATCTTCTGCGGGCAATTTAAGAACATTTTCCGTACCCGCATGTATTTGCTTAATCCTTCAACAGTGGTTTGCAAAACTCGATATAATAGGCAGTGGCGTAGACAGGACTTTAGGGGGCCATAACCCCCCCCCCATAGACCCCTCGGTATATATATAAAGTTTGAGGGGGGTTGCAAATCAAAAGTTTAAAGGGGGGGGGGGGTAAAAATCGAAAGTTTGTCCACGGGTTATATACTGAACCACCCCCCCCCCCCCCCCCATGAGACGATCCTGGCTACGCTACTGATAATAGGTGAAAACGCGTTACGGACTATTTTGGCCCTTGTATAGAACTGAAAAACCGTCATCCCATTTATATCTTTTACTTTATATGTAATTAGTCTTGTCTAGATGGCTCCAACTAAAACATTTATATTTCATTTTTCACCCATATATTAATAACTCCATATAGGCAACGCCATTGACTTCGGCTACTATTTTTATATAAGAAAAAATATTTTCAGAACCACAGAAACATAAAAAACTCACGATAAAAACTCATATTTGTACGACAATACTATAAAACTCGGCCCACACAGCCTATAGGATATACCCTCTCGGCTGTTCCTGAAGAGATTCTACCAACATGTTGCTGTTCATCGCTTTGTTGCTTCACGTCTTCTCCGGTGTTGGTAAGTTCCAAATGTCGTAATGTTTTAGGACCTTCTCCGGCGTAATTTTTAGCGCAATTTCCATTCTGGAGAATTGCGTTTATTAACCCGTCATTTCTGGATGGATGGATGTGTGTCCGCAGCTTTGAGTCGTATCTCCTCCTCAACGAAGCAATATCGAGGACTAGTTCCAAAAGCAAATATGTTAAGCAAGTTCCGTGGATGAAAAAATTCCCCGGAATTCCTTCCTGGATTTCCCGGAAAAGCCAAAAAACCTCGAGCAAATGCAGTTTTTGCTCCACATCTCGGCAACCAGACCACTTAGCGAATTGAAACATTTACCAATCGATTTCTGCCATAATTTAAACCAATATTGCCGAAGAAAGTTTTCAAAAATATCCTTTCGTTCGGTCACAAAATTTTTTTAAATATATTTTAAAATGAGCGTCTTGTAGGCCTAGTTTTAATTTAAACTGAGCGTCTTGTAGGTTTTTAGCGCAAAGCGCTGAAGTTCGAAAGGATTTTTTTATACTTATTTACTTATTAATTCAAACGTTATTTTTGTACCCTATTAATTTATTTATAATTTATATGAGAGTGATACTGGAGTTACAATTACAAGGATTTGTTTCGCTAGGCCTAATCATTTTTTCACATTTTTTAAAAAACAATAGAGTTATATGACTAAAAACCATTGCGCGCCTACTGAACGTGATGGCGCAACCATGGAACGTGATGACGCATCTATTGAACGTGATGACGCGTACATAATGAATTTGCGCTAAAATTGTCACTAGACTTTTTAATTAACTTGTTTAAGTCTGTTAAAACATTACCGTTTTTTCTTCTTTTTTTTCTTCATTTTTCGTTGTAATAGTTTTTACTATAATTTGTATTATTTTTCCACAGTTGCTTATGATGTCTGTGAAATATTTGACCCCCCTATTGATTACAACCAACACCGGTATTATCAATCCTCCTTCTACTACAAAGACGCGGAACAAGCTGAAAAAGTATGTTCGTCTTGTGGCTGGTACCTGGCAGAAATCAACAACGAAGCTGAATTCAGGTTTGTGCAGACCCTGGCCAGGAGTGCAAAAACCGAAGGTCTGCTGCTATCTGGAAATGACGTGAACATGGAGGGCTATTGGGTGTTTCAGACCAGTAAGCAACCTGTCACATTTTTTGACTGGTATGGTGGAGGACCGGACAACTACCAAGGTCGTGAAGATTACCTAACCATTCATTCAGATTTCGGCTACCAAATGAATGATGTGTTTTTTGAACCGACCAGAAATTATAAGTTCTTGTGTGAAGTAGATAGGTAGGAATATGTGTTTGACCTATGAAATATGACTTGGTGTCAATCAATAAAAGTTCAAATTAAACATTGATTATAAAGCTTCCAGAACTGTTCGTGATGATGTTTCATTTTAGTTTTGATGACTTATAATTGTTCTGTTTTTGTTTTTGTATGTTTTTGTTAAGATGATTTTATTTGATTTTGAGTTTATGTTCTGTCAATCTTTATTTTAACACAACACACATCAACAAGAGTGGCAGTTGTTTGTACTTGGTAATACACGATAGAATAAAATGGTGTAAAACTTAGGCACTAATAGACACTACAGACACCTTTAGAAACCTCAACCTACAAACAATCACACCCAAAGCCAAAGAAAATTGCCTATAGACTTATCTACAAATCTACAACTCGCCACCCATAGGACACCACCCACAAAGGAAATGCACATTATGCAGACAAAACTATTTAGAATCAGAATCCCACATCTATCTAGACTGCCCCGCCATTCAGACAATAAAAAAGACCCTAGAGCCCAAATAGTGACCAGAAACGAGACCTTTGACGTAGACGTGGCGATAACACTAAACAAACTGCTCAAACACAAAGACAGAAGAGATAACACTAAACAAACTGCCCAAACACAAAGGCAGAAGAGATAACACTAAACAAACTGCTTAAACACAAAGACAGAAGAGATAACACTAAACTAACTGCCCAAACACAAAGACAGAAGAGATAACACTAAACAAACTGCCCAAAAACAAAGACAGAAGAGATAACACTAAACAAACTGCCCAAACACAAAGGTAGAAGAGATAACACTAAACAAACTGCCTAAACACAAAGACAGAAGAGATAACACTAAACAAACTGCCCAAACACAAAGGCAGAAGAGAACTAGAGCAGAAAGTAGAGATCGTGGCGATCTATAGACAAACTATTTGGACAAACAGACTCAGAACCCACTTCGACAACAGACACATCACGCACAGACGTTGAATCCAATTTTTAAAAGACGACACGACGAACAAATTACATAAACACACACACACACACAAGTCAAACAAAACACCACAACACCTTAGAAACGCACCACCGCCTCAAATTGTCTCACCAATCCCTCCCCCTCAGATGTTCTCGCCCTCACGACCAAACCCCTACAACCCCCATGTCCCTATTGTTGTTAAATTTTGTGTATTGTTTAATTACACAGCTTATAAATGTAAACCTTGCCGGGGGTATGACTACACTATCTACCCTTCCCTAGCCCTAGCCTTAACTAATAACTGTCCGATCAGTGCAACCGTTGTAAAACTCACTGTGGTTTAACCCTAACCTTAAGGGGAAGGCTCCGGTAAAAAACGTTTTTAATACTCGTTGGAAAACAGTTATTTCTTTACAGCTTTATTAAGATACATCCGCATATGCATTTCCACTAAAATAAATTGGTGAAAAAATCTTGGTAACCATGACAACGGCGACCATCTTGAAAAATTAACCCCTTCGTAGGTTTTCCACCATTCATAAAATATTACATTTTAAGCCCTATAAACAATCAATTCATAATCTTCTTCCATATTTTGGGGCACTCAGCTAAAAATTTTAAATGCATATCTTCAAACATATTTTTTATGAATTTTCAAGATTTGTGTCCGTTCAAAACACTAGGTTTAATGCCCCAAAATTCCCCAAAATTAAATCAAACCTTAAACTTGAGGCAAACTAAAATATACTAAGTACTGTCTAAGAAAACCACAACAAAATTACTAGTAACTAAGCCCAACTTAATCATCGTGGGGGAACCCACAATAACAACACTTTAAAATAATCAAGTAAAATGACAAACCAGTGAAATGCACACACGCATTCAGACCAGTTTAGTAAACATATCGACCTAAACCACTTGGTCCAAAACACACGCCAGAGGTTTAGAAAATACCAAAATACATTTTAAACCAACAAAAAGAATACACTACGTGTGTAACAGACCTGTCAATGCCCACTATCTTGTTTTAGACGAAAAAGAAAGAAAACCAGAAACATGGGCAGTCACTTTCCTTGAAATCGCACATATACAAATAAAATATTAAAAAAAAACTAATACCTTCACGCACAAGGTGCGCCAAGTGCCCACAAAGAAACTGACCAGAACTATATTCTGGTTATAAGGTGAAAAAGGACTAATGCTGGCGTTCACTCGGCTTTAAATACCCTGTGACTGGCCGGAAGGGGAAACACCGTAGCCGCTGTAGAACATTCACGCAAAAATTCGCACACAAAAATAATACGATATAAATCACCCATTCACCCGCTCACATAAACAAGCATTGTAAAGACATGACTTTACACGTTTACGATTATCTCACATGTACGGCGACCTGATCTATAAAAATATAAAATTATCCCATGACCCCACCCCCTTACCCCCATCCCTCAGGACAACACCCCTTTTGTACCCACTCTATTTTATGTTAATTAACCCTGTACTGTATACATCAGTGGTTTGTATATGTATCACTCTACTAAAATGCAAAGCATTGAAGATGTACATTAATAAGAAAAAAAAGCTCTTATCAATTGATGTTATTTTTGTGTATTGTTTATTTGCACAGACTATAGACAAATATTGTACAGCGTCCAATCCTACACTTTTACTATCATCTTACATTTACGGTACACTGCTCCACAACATACAAATAACCCCATGACCCCATACTCACCCTTCATAACCTACCCTCCCCCCCTTTTTTTTGCTACCTTTAATAACATGAATGACCTTACTTGAACTCTCTCATAAGAACACGTCTAACAAAATTTTGACCTCTAAAAGGAAAACTCCACCGATGTAATCTGACATCTTTTGAACTTTGGTTGTATAGTAAACCATTTTTCTTACTGCTTTGTAATTTATGGTTATTCGTTGTATTCAACACTTTATTTTTATTCCCCCTCTGGGTTTTTCCATTGGTTGTTGTATATACCAAATTTAACTATTTATTTAACTATGATTAATCTAACTGATTTATTATTATTCACCTATCACTTGTATGAAAATTTTGTTACTGTAAATATGTTGTAATTTTTTTAATAGAAAATAAAAGTATTTTTTTTTAAAAATAATTGAACGTTATATATTAGATGAAACAAGTTGTGCTACATTACCACTTTATGTAGTAATGAAACAGCATAGACGACATTTACCAATTTATTTAGAAGTGGAACGATTTGGGCTACATTTACCACTTTATGTAGTATCTAAACAGCATAGACTACATTTACCACTTTCTGTAGCAATAAAACAATTTGGGCTACATTTACCACTTTATGTAGTAATGAAACAGCATGGGCTACAGGCACGTTTTTCGTTTAGAATCCTGCGTATCTTCACGGATGAGAATTTACAATTATAAGGATGAATCAGATAAGAGTCGGCTTTTAGAACTTAACATTAGTATGCAGGATATATTTTGAACAACAATGAAACGATATAAGCAACTCCCACACAACATGTACCATGTGGAACTTTTTGGTCTGCCTTTACCACTAGCTGTAGCAATAAAACAAGTAGGGCTACATTTACCACTAGCTGCAAGTCTCAGTGAGAATAGAACATCATGTACTGTCTCAGTGGCCAGTGAACACCATGTACTGTCTCAGTGACCAGAGAACACCATGTACTGTCTCAGTGACCATAGAACACCATGTACTGTCTCAGTGACCAGAGAACACCATGTACTGTCTCAGTGACCAGAGAACACCATGTACTGTCTCAGTGACCAAAGAACACCATGTACTGTCTCAGTGACCAGAGAACACCATGTACTGTCTCAAAGACTAGAGAACACCATGTACTGTCTCAGTGACCAGAGAACACCATGTACTGTCTCAGTGACCAGAGAAAACCATGTACTGTTTCAGTGACCAGAGAACACCATGTACTGTCTCAGTGACCAGAGAACACCATGTACTCTCAGTGAACACCATGTACTGTCTCAGTTACCACTGATGTTAACGATACTACCCACACGTTAACACTGATGCTAATGATAGCAGACCCTCTCACAGTTTAATGGCTATATTTTGAAGGTTGTTGTTTGAAAAGCTTACCCCTATGTTAAGCACATCGGTCTACCGAGCCAAGAAGAGATAACGTTTTAGTCATATGTGACCTTGAGACATAACTTCGGGATGAATCAACGCAACATTTGGCAGCACTTGGCTACACAATCGGTTTAAACAAGGCAATTTTTTTCACATTTTTGATAACTTGATCATTTTGTTAAAAAGTTCATTTCTTTTCAGCATTAATTGCTAGTTGTTAGAATTAGTCTTAATAATTTTAAAATCCACCACAAAATCCCTATTTAAAAATGACACCACAAAGATATCAACGTCAAAATAACCAATGTTTGACCAATCGATAGTAAATATAACGCTTGGCTAGGCAAGATATAATCAATATTTATGACACATATTACAGATATTTGGTAAATTATCATCTATGCTATAACTGTTGATTACGTTTTGCCTATACGCATCCAGCGTTAAGCAATTATTGGGACGCTAATAAGGGATATTGCTTCCCAACACTAAATTATTACTCATTTCATTCGATGTAGTAGCGATGGATTACAGCCACTTCAATTTGCATAAAGCATTACATTAGGTTGTGGGGAAAAGATGGGTATGTGCTTATATGAATAGGGTACAAATATTGATAACTTGTGTAACGTTAGATTGATTTCCAATTACCGGAAGTGATATTTTACTATAAACATATATATATATATATATATATATATATATATATATATATATATATATATATATATATAATTCTCTTCTGGGAGACGTTAGAAAAAAACAAGATGTAAATGCGCTCCCTACCAGCCCCACCCCTACATGGTCTGGTGAGCTGTGGTTCACTCTAAATGTTTACAAAACAGAACCGGGTTTAGTGACGACTATTAGGGGCAGATAATTTAGTTTGAAACGATTTTAAACTTGGGGGGGGTAGCTAAGTGGGAGTTTACTTGAACGGAGGGGGGGAGGGAGTTTATCGTCCTTAACGATCTACTTATAGTGTTTTAAAGAAATATTTTCAGTGGCA